CCCCAAAACCCCAAAACCCCAAAACCCCTATGAATTAGCGTGGATTGGATCAAAAATAATGGAATTTAAAAATGTAAAGCTCCAGTTTGCCTTTAAAGATGAGTTCAAGGAAAACCCGATAGGTGAGCATGGGTACTGGAGGGCAGAGAGATAGGTCTGGAAAGAACCAAGCAAGGGAATTAGAGGACACGGCTTGGGCATGGGGCATTGGGATAGCAGGATTGAGTGCTTGGTCCTTGAGGGCGTATGGGAGAGATGGGAGAAGAGTGTTAGTTTGAATCCTTTGCTTGTTATTATTCATAAAACTAGTCTTGTTTCTATATCTCATGATCAAGTATTAAGTTAAGGTTCCTATATTCAAACCAATGGCTTAATTTCTTGCTTGCTAACATATAAATTTTCGTTCTTTCATCTTTTTCCTATATCTATATCTTCTAATATCATACTCTAAAACACAAGACTGAAGATACCTTCATACATTTGACCACAGCTGCTCTTTTCTAACAAAATCTGGTTCGCTGCAGCACCAGGTACTCAAAACGACACAATAAGGCTTTGGTCTATTTTCTTGTTATGAAAATCTCATGAGGATAGCTTCCAAAATTCATTGATAATTTTCACTAATCTTCTTAAGATATTAACTATTCTCTAGACCTCAAGTTTGAGGAAGATGAAGAATACCACCGTCAAAAAGTTGATAAAGTTTTTAAGCGAAGACATACCGAGTATAATAGCTATGATGCCCCTATCTTCGGAGAGATTATCAAGAAGGAAGAAACCGAATTTGGGTATAATAAGTATACATCTGACGAGCAAGCGAATAAACAGCTCAAAGATGTTGAAAGAGGTCACCGCATTGAAGAATTCGCTGAGTTTTGAGGTAATTTAGTGTCATCCTTATAGGCCAAATTGACCTACTCGAAGAAGAAATCAATAAAAATATTAAGAATAAAAGTTTAGACTCCAATTATGACACTGATACCCTGAGCAACGAATTTTGGGAGGATCTACAGACCAAAGAGGATGAGTTCATGAAATAGCTACCCTTATCCGGAGATTAAGGTCAAACGGATCTTATATGACTACAATGCATCGAATATTTCCAAGGTCCGAAATGCTTACCAGTAATGTTATGGCTAACCCATAGGACTTTGCTGAGGAACCAAGAGCTAAATATCTCCAAATAAGGCAAGACAGTTCATCAACAAGCAGGTCATGCTGATGATTAGCCAATTTGAGAAGGAAATGAGCCTCATTAGTCTGAAGTATAACCAGCTAAGTAATGCTCTCGACTTATTCTGTAGGAGAAATTACTATTGCCAAAGAGATCATGATTAGAGACCTTACTGAAAAATAACAGTATGAAGGAAGAAGAGCTCAAGCAATTCAGGAATTACTTGTAATTTATCATGATAATGCCTTCTAGTAAGCGTAATAAGCAACGAAGGAAGGACGGGCTACATCAGAAAGAGATCAAAGGAGAAGCTCCTGAGAATATTGACTGTCTCAACCAAGATGCCTTCTCGTTCTACAATCTTGGAGTCAGGTATTCTCATTTCTAAGTGCCCTTTATAGCTTAGATATTATGGATAAACTCCAGATTGGAAAAGATTTCGTAGTGCATCAGCTCAACAAAGATCGCGCATGAATAAGCCAAGACATTGAGAAGGTAAAGTCAGAATCAATGGCGGTCAAAGAGATATGACTAAAGTACCAAAAAGACGAAGAGCGAGCTAGGACTAAGCTTAAGATAGTCACAGCCATCATGAAGTCAAACCAGGTCAAGAAAGAAGTAGTTGAAACCAAGGATATCATCATTAAAGACCTGAAGGATAAAATCAAAATTGATAAGAGAAGGTACCAAAAAGAAATCAGCAGGCTTAACAAGATCGCAGAATGAGAAGGCCAGATCTGGAAGAAGATAGAGAAACAACTCAAAGGAGTCATAACCAAGCTCAAGAATGAGCTCAAATATGTCAAGATGGTATTGAGATATCCTAAGTTGTATCATCAATATAAAGAAAAGAAATTTGACTTCATTAGAGAAGGGCTGATTGTTGATGACATAGAGTTTTTAAAGAAAGAAGCAAAAGGAATTCTAAAACCAAAGGAAACAGAAGGACCAAATATGAATCTTACTGGCAACATTTCTCCAGATAGACCAATGAGTCCAATGCAGTCTCAGAAGACGTTCTTCACTAGAAACAAGACTTCATTGTCTTCAACAAAGATCAATTCTATGGCACAATTTCAGAGCCCCACTATTGCATCAAGGAAGTATCGGTGCTTAAGTAGATAATTTCAATCTTTGAGTTGTAAAAAGGGGTTTTGGGGTTTTGGGGTTTTGGGGTTTTGGGGTTTTGGGG